ATACATTATTAGCCTAGGGCTGATAGCAGGCCCCAAAGTTCATTTAAATTAGCGCTGATAGCAGGTCCTAAGACTTACTAGTTAGAGCTGATAGTAGGCCCAGAGATACTAGTTTACCGCAACAATCCCGCGAATATGAGAGCAGGGTAGTCCGAGCATGAGGGACTCCCTTTCCATTACCCAGGTCATGGACCTACCTTAGTCGTACAGGTAGGACTAAGAAAGCCCCCTTAGGCATGGTACTAGGGCACAACATGGCTGATAGCAGGCTTGGCTCTGGCTTTCACCCTGGGAAGCTGGGAAGTTGGTGGTTAAGGTGGCTAAGGGTGGAGGTTTTGCTGAGGTGAACACAAATATAGTCGATAGCAAGATAATGAAGTCTTGAGAATACATGTATTGACCAAATAGAACTGAGAAGGCAAGTGCATCGACAAGGTTCACCGCTGCAAGTGCACTTGCTAAGGTTCGGGCTGAGAAAGCAAGTGTAGAGGCAAGCACTCCCACTACAACTGCATTTGCTGAGGCTCAAAAGGGAGTTGCAACGCCAAACACTCTCGTCGCAACTACACTTGTTGAGGCTCAAAAAGATAGTTGCCGAGACAAACATATAGTAAACAGTACATGCAGAGGGACACGTGGCACCTTCAGCCTGGTGGCTCAAGGCAAAATATTCCATGTGATCCTCTAAGACGCATGTCTTCTCTCTATTTGGCCACTTGGTGTCCTCTTGGCACCAAGAAAAAGCCTATAAATATGACCCATTTCCCAAGATTCAAAGGAAGGAATTTTGGGGATTTTGGGGAGATGTTGCCCATTTGGGTATTGCCATACATTTTTTTCTTGAGCCACTTGCTTCACCCTCACCCAATTGCTCACTCTCTAACCTCCTAGACAGTTGCTACTGCTCATCCTCCTGTCATTCCACCATTGTTGGACCATTAACATAGTTTTACCTCTTTAATCACTTTTTTAACCTTGAACCCCCTATAAAACCAAACAAAGCCTTTGGATTTTTTTATTTAAAGTGAAAAAGAACAACTTTTCCGAACTACCACAAAGCCATGAGAAGTTTTTTTGTTTTGGACAAATAGATGATGAGATTAATTATGTGAACATTAAAATAGGATTGTGGTATGAGATTCTTTATTTCTAATTTTTTATTTCTTATTTTATTGCACTCTTAGTTATTGAATATGTGTCTTAAAATTCTCACAAATTTTATTAATTGAGAGTTTATTTAGACAGAAAAATATAGAACTTCACCCTGTTTTGTTACATCAAAATACATTGCGACTTAAGATTCTTCCAATTAATAGAATAATAATTATAAAAAAATAAAAAATAAAAAGTTGAATAAACAATTCACCATTGTTAAGATGTTGACTTATGCGCCACTCTTTCACACTTTAAGCATGAAATTAAAGCAGCCAGCCCGCCAATAAATAATAAACAGTAATAGCACTAGAAAACAAAAAAAGAAAGAGAAGAGGAAAGTATCTAATTCCAAATGGAACTGAAAAAAAAAAAAAAAAAAAAAAAAAAAAGAAAAGAAAAAAGAAGTTAACCCAACATTATTAAAGTGTCGGCTTTATAATAATGTTATAGTGAAAAGAAAAAATTATCATATATATATATATATATATATATAATTAGTCAGGAAATTCTAAAATGGAAAATAATTTGAGGCCCCGGACTTATCTTTTTAGTTAAAAAGTCAAAAAGTTACTTTTTTTAGCCAAAAAGTCAACAAATCATATAAAAAAGTCAAAGATTCTCTTTTCTCTATATTTTTTGCACATCTTTTCGTAATTAGTCAAAAAGTCATCCCAAACATATAAGTTTTTTTACCTACTTTTTTAGCCAAATAACCAAAATGTTACTAAATTAGCCTGTTCCCAAACGAGGCCTCAGTTGCATATTAATATTTATGTGCATTTTTTTTTGTGTGCATATATCGCTATTGATTTACTTACATCAGTGTATTTGATTTCAATTTTTTGAAAAATAAATTTTTATTTTTCGTATTTTTTAATTTTTAATGAATATTTTTAAAATTTTAAGCTTTTTTTATTTTATTTTTTGAGATCACCTTATTTAGATGTATCTAAATAGTAAAATATTTAAGAAAAATATTTAAAAAATTAATAAATACACAAAAATATGAAAAATGTATTGAATTTTTGTATTTTTTTTATATTTTTGATATTTAGTGAATTTTTTATATTTTTTTCACAAATATTATACTTTTTGAAGTTTATTTATGTTAAATGTGTCTAAAAATTAAAAAAATTTCTTAGAATATTAAAAAAATTCAGTGAAAATAAAAAAATACGAAAAATAAAAAAATAAAATTATTAAAACAATAAATTCTGAAAACCGAAACTAAATTGAATGATGGTTATTGTTTCACATTTTGAGTACGATGTTAAGAGATGGAAATGCCACTAATAAAGAGTAATAGGAACCATAAAAAGAGAAAGAGATTGGAAAAAACACAATAAAGGCAAAAAAACAAAAACAAAAAGAAAAAGTATCTAATTCCATGGGCGGAATTAAAGGCGAGATATTCATAGTGGATACACTTAAAAAATCACATTATAAAACATAAAAATAATGCGGAAGCGATTCAAGAAAAAACACATTCAATTATCATTTTTTTAATGTTCAACATAGATTGATTCATGTATATTTGTTACTTGCGGTGTGGAATGTTATTAGAGTGTTTAACATCACCATATAAAATCTTGCACTCACATAGTGTATTTTCATATCAAATCAAATTATATTTTATTAGTTTAGATTTTGAGAGATCAATTGGATTCATCATGAGTCTCATTTCAATAATTCGAATCATTTAGTTTATAAGGTCGTTCATTTTGCAACCCCATTAATGTATATCATTCATGAAAAAAAATTATGTCAATCTAATAATTTTTTCATTTTATCATATTTGTATCTAAAAATTAATAATATTTTTTGTTAATATTATCAATCTAATATTTTTTGTATCTAATATTTTATCATATATTTGTCGTTTATTTTTTTCGAAAACAAGTGAGATAAAATAAAATATTACGATTATCAGATCAAATTAATTTTGTTAATAAATTATAAATATTAAAAATTTTACAAAATAAAAAATTCAAATCATAAAAGCACGACTCATGATAAACTGTCATATTCTTTCATATTAAAATCTCTCATATGAACATGAAAAAAGTGCTTTTAGACTTAAATCGAATCATATGGCTCATACAATATAGAATGAGTATGCGTATAGAATGACTCTTTATTGCAGACTCACTAAATCGTAAGATGGGTCTTTTCATAAATTATGTAGTAAAAATTTTACAAAATAAAATATTCAAATCATAAAAACAAGTCTCATGATGAACTTTCAATTTATTTATTTATTTATTAAGGCCAAGTTTGGGGACTTCAAAATAAGCCAAAAAGCCAAAAAGTTACTCAAAAAGTTAAAAAGTTAACACTATTCACCAAAAGTCAACAATTACGGCTGCACAACTCCCAATTCAAATTTTCCTCTACAAACCAATTGTATTTGGCATCTATGATTTTTAATTTGTTGACAAAATGACCTAAGAAACAGCATATTCAAAAAGTTAACCCAAACATCCATATTTTCAACCTCAATTTTTTAGTCCAAAAAGACAAAAAGTGCACTTTTTTAATCTTCCCAAACTTGGCCTAAATATTAAAACCTCCCATATGAATATGAGAAAAATGAAACCTCTATTTTAGATCTAAATTGAACCATGTGACTCACACCATATAGGGTATGTATACTTGTTTGATGGCTCCTCATTACAGACTCACTAGACCGTAGGATGGTTCTCAATCAACCCCACTCAATTGGCGAACACATGTATCACCACGTGTCCCATCACATTCAATCACTACCCAATTTTGACTAAAATTATTAGGTACGGTACATGTGCACTATACTTATCATATACCCTCCCCGTTAACTCCCCATTCTTCCCTGCAATGAAAATTAAGATTGTGCCCTTGGGGGGTGGGTTCAGCTGTAAGGAGGCCCAAAAACACTTTCAACCAAGGTTTGGCTCTCTGTTGTCTCTCAGTGTGGCGTCCTTGCGTCCCCTAGCCTGATTCGCTGGATCAACAACTAGGAGAGCCTTGATCGGGGCTGGGGAATCCTTTTTTGTTTACCAAATAAAAATAAAAAATAAAATAAAGATTGTACAAAATACTATATAATTTATTAAAATCAAATCGATCTGCATTAATTTATACCATTCTATCCGCTAACCTCGATGTAGTACTTGTTTGAAATCTCCTAAAAAAGACAAAAAATTAAAAAATTATTAAAAAAATAAAAAAATTAACACTATTCACTAATCAATTGGGCGAGAAAAAAGTCAGCATATAGTGGGCAAAAATACTAAAAAACCCTTGCTGACATGCACGAAAATTAAAAAAAGAACAACAACTCTCAACTATGCAACCGTACTGACATGCACGAAAAGAATGTCAGTACTCAGAGGAGTAAGAAAATAATTTTGGTGTTTTATACAATATTTTATTACATATTTTTTTCTTAAAAAGTCAAAAAATTATTCCAAACAATCATATTTTTTTTTCTCTATTTTTTTAGATAAAAATTCAAAAAGTAAACCTATATAATTCATCCCAAACAATTTCTTAAACTTAAAAATTTTATAAAATCACTCCACTCTATTTTAATTAATACATATATACTTTTTAATTTATAATAAAATATTAAAATAAATATATATATATATATATATATAAAAGATTTAATATATAAAATTTATTATAAATTAATAATTATATAAATAAAATATTATATAAAATTTGTTAATATTATATATTATACAAATACTTAATAATTTGTTAAAATATTTTTCACTCTACTAATTCACCTGGCTAATCTGTGATTTGTTTATTCGTCGTTGGATTTATAATTTTACTCGGCGCACACTAATGAAAACTATATATAAAACCCTCCTCCCAACCCCATTCCCCTCCTCCAAAACGTTTCCCTCTAGGTAGTTCGATTTCAGCCCCACCGATTGCCAGAGCAAAATCTGTATTCGAATCGTGATTTTATCGAATTGAATTTCATGTATTTGATTTTGTGATTTTGGCGGAGATCGAATCGAAAAGTAAGGGGGGTTTGTAGATTCTTGATGGGGAAGAAGAGGAAGTCTGTGGCGACGAGCCTCGACGAGGTTGATCGAACGATGTATTCGACGTTTTGTAGCGCTGCGAACTCGCTCTCTCAGCTCTACACCCAGGCCATGAACCAGCAAAAACTCAGCTTTCAAACTGGTGAACGCCATGGACTGGTAATTTTTTTCTTCATCCGATCAATTTGTGTTATGGGTTTAGCTGGATATGTACAAAAGTTGTGATTTTGCTTCGCTAATTCAATATATCAAGGCTATCAATTGTATGAATTTTGTCATAGATCTTTTGATTGTTGTGATTATGATATGATGTGTTTATTTTGTTTTTAGGGTGTGCTTTGATATCTGACTATGTTATGTTTATTAAATAATAATTACTTGTTTTGGTGTTTTGAGATGAATAATATATATATATTGATTTTATATTGCTCGTGATTTCGTATTCCGGAAGTTTACAATTGAAGGTGTCATTTGCGTTTCTGATGTTGGGAGGCCAAATAAACTTACTAAGTTGGGTAAGCATTAGCTTAAGAGTGTAGACAAGCATATTCTTTTATTCATTATGTGGGGACTGTGTTGCAAGGTAGAAGTGTTTTGGTTGTTTTTGCTCTTTGGAAGATGGATTGTGTCTGAACTCGTTCTGGTCTAAAGCCATCTCCTGACTGTAACTGAATTTTTACTCAAATTGGAGTAAAAAACTTTATTTGATATGAAGGACTCCAATGGAAAAACTCATATGTAAGCATAAATTTGAGTAAAAGCTTTAGTAGTGGCAGAGTTGTAAATTTGAAAACTACAAAATGGTCTTGAAAATTTTTGCGAACATTTGGGTCTCTCTTGATTTGGGTAAAATTCAATTTGATATAAGTTTGAGTCAAGGATTGGAGACGTTTTTGAGTGATTTTTATTCATAATTAAATTTGATATATGTTTGAGTCAAGGATTGGAGATGCACTAGCCCAGTTGTCAGTGTGATTCCCATAGTATCTTCAAATTTATTGCAAAAAATGCAGCGTAACCTTTGTTAGTGGTTTTGGATTTTTTATTAGATATTTCATTGGAACCTTTATTGAAATTGAAAGATTAAAACAACAAAAGGAGTAATTACGGCATTCATGGCATTTATTTGAAAAAAAGGGGAATTTTTACTTTCACATAGAAGGTATTATTAAGTGATTTGAAGATAGAGTAAACAAATCTTTTATAATAGCATTCCAAATTTGGGTTCCCTGTTTGGTTCCACGGTAAAAGCTATTAAATGCAAGAACAGAGTTGTGAAATTGAGGTTAGTAACTAAACCAAACCAATGGAGTCTTGTGTCCCAATTAAGTGGAATTGGCTACATAAATTCTTTTTTTCCATTCTACTTTGTCTAGGCTACACGTTCGTTTAAATTAAATAAATTTATTGTTTATATATATATATATATGCTAAGTTTGAGGTTATTCATGCTAGTAATGTATGCAAATAAAGCTCATGTTCGGATACCGTATGAAATTTGTACACTCATTGTGGCACCCTTGAACACCCAGATATCGTCACTAGGCAATGGGCCAAGGCTGGCTGAACCTTGAACGAGGCCTAAAGTGAAATTTTAATACGAGGCTCTTTTATATTTTTAAATAATATTATTGTTTTTGTTTTTTTTAATACATAAATTTAATTTCCTATTTTTGCAAATAAAATTTTTGGCCTTTAGTTAGAACTATAATGTTTTAGTTGGACCTTTGTAGGAGGACAAATTTTTTTTTTGGAACCTTTAGACAAGAAAAAAAAGGATTAGTCTTTTACGATTTGGGCCTCTGAATAGGAAGGTTTTTTTTTTGTTTTTTTTATGGGCTCTAGGGGACATAGGTTTATAATAGAACTTTGGACAAAAATATGTATTTTTATTATTTTTGATTGAGGGCCTTTTTTTTTTTCCCCCCCAATCACTTGGGGATTATTTATAAATATCAAGAAAATTACATTGAACTGGATAATCAATTATTTAAGAAACTCCAACAATACATGCCAACAAATATAATATTGATACAAGAAAGAGCTCCATAATAAGAAAGAAATAAACAACTAAGAAAAACCCCCGAATAAAAAAAAAAAAATCAACCATGCTTTTGGCAAGGATTCTACATTGCCTCTCAGTTGATAGTGTAGATGAGTGGCCAATTATAATGATTTTGTTTTGTTTTCTTTAGGCAAGAAATTTTTTCTGTACTAATATATAGGAAATATATTTTTTTAGGCCTTTAACGAACAAAATTAGAGCTGGGCCTTTCGAAATTGGATGCCTAAAGCAACAACTTTGGTTGCTTAATTGTTGAGTCGGTGCTGCAATGGGCCATCTATATACCTCTGTGTATAGATTGAAAGCATTGCTAGATCAAACAACTAAAGCCAATTTTAAGTCACCATAACTGACGAAAATTCATTTTGATATTCAAATTTTGATTTATTATTATTATTATTATTATTATTATTATTATTATTATTATTAATACTTTGAATTGTAGATTCAAGCGGGAGAGGACTTTATTTTAATCTACATAAACAATTAAAATATTAATTGAAGACATGACCAAAGGTTTGCTCCGAAGATTAATGTGGTGTTGATAGCTTGGTGCTGTGTGTGTCTAAAAGATGATAAACTGAAACTTCTATACTATCAAAGAGTTGAAGTATTGAATAAAACAATAGAAAAAGTGCATTTAGATTGACAGCAAAGGGCTTGGATTTTGATAAGTAATGAGTTTAGTTTAATACTTGGTTGGTTTGATTTGAGGTAAGAGTAGCATAATTGAAAGGAAGGAGTTTGATTTTAAACAAACATATTGAGTAAAAATTGTAAGCTGAAATTAGAATATTCTTCTTCTTATTTTTTTTTGGGTCCACTTGATAAGAGAAACAATTCACTGGAGATGTTAAATTTTGGGCTTGTTCATGGTGGCAAAAGTAGGCTGCATTTGTTTGTTGCAATTGAGATAAGTAATCATAGAGACCATGTAGCTAAAGTTGAAGAAGTAGAAAGCAAGAAAGCCAACATTGGACTACATAAATCTTATGAAACATAATTTTTAGAAATGGAATATTTCATGATTTTCATTACCTAGGAACTTTGTTATTAGAATCGTACGATTCGATTCGATTCGATTCGATTCAGTAGGTAATCGATTCGAACAGGTTGTGGGAATCGGAAATAGCTATGAATCGTAGGCGAATTGGTAAATTGGTGAACTGAATCGGTGAATTGTGAATCGATTTGATTTGCTAAAATCGATGCTTGGCTCTTTTTTTTTTGACTTTTTATTGTTGGAAAATGGTTCATACAACGTTTTTAAGGTCTCTAGGATTATTATATGTTATCTTTTGACTTTCTCCCTCTCTATTTACTCTCAAATACTTCAACCTTAGTGAAAAAAAATGAACTTTCTCTCTCTAGAATATTCTAGGCTTACATATTCAATTTTATTTAAGCACTAGCATTTACAAAATGAATTTTTTGAAGGCATCAAGTGTGATTTTTGAAAAAGTTTAAAGATTTTGGTTTTTTAATCTTGTAAAAAGTTAAAAACATTAGAACTGTTTGGTTAAACTTATTTCAAACAGCTTCTGATTCTAACAGCTTATTTTAACTCAAAAAAGCTGATTCTGAGAAGCTGCTCATCCCTTACTTCTGAGTATCAGCTTCTGCTGTGGACATGTTAATTTATGGTTATACTCTTAAATTTTTTTATTTTTTATTTTTTTAAAAATAGAAAAAGACTTAAATGGACTATAGATTATTATTATTATTATTTTTTATGAGAAATGTAGACAAACAAAAAATAAAAATTAATTGAAAAAGCTATTTAAGAGTTTATTTAACAAACACTATTCAGCAACTTAAATCTATAATTCAACAGTTACACTAAACAGATTAACAATTTCTGATTAAAGTCATAATCTATAATCTGTTAAGCTATAATCTATAAGCTGTTTTAACAGCTACACCAAACGGGGCCATTGTTGTTGTGTTATTGTTTATTGGAAATCAAAAGTTTGTCTTTGTTTGCTTTCTTTATTAAGAACGGTTGATAAGAAATAGTATCTAAAAGGGAAAAAGTGAAGTGGTAAACATGGGAACTAGTGTTAACTTCTTACCCAGACCACATGATCATCATTTAAAACAATATTTTTATTGATTTAAGTCTAAATATTTCATATTTATTAGATATATTTAATATATAAGCGTGTAGATATATTTTGTATGTAATTAAAAAAAGGTGACCGACTTTTTACGATTCACGATTCGATTCGATTCGATTCGCGATTCGGTACAATATCATTTCGATTCATGATTCGAATTCCGATTTGACAACTATGCCTAGGAAGTATAATTGCTGTTATTCATGGCATGAAAGGGTTCTAGTATAGTAGTATGGCATTTAGAGATAAAAAAAATGCAAAAAGGAAACAAAATAACAGTAAGATATTTGATATTGTTTTCTCACGAAGAGGTGGTGGACATGAGTCTTTGTTCTCTATTATGTTTCTTTTAAATCTATGGTTTTAATGAATTTTCTAAATGACTGTGTTCACTAGTTTATGGACAAGTTGGTTGTAGAAATCTTTTTTTTCTCGTAAGAAAGTCAAGCAATTTCTTGGCGGATCACAAAAGTTTGGATTAACTTCAGATAAGGATGCTTATTTAGTATATAGATTGAAGTCCAATTATGCCAAAGTAAGTGATTTGTTTTTGTGCTTTTTGTTGAAAAAAATGAGTGATTTGGTACTATGTAAAGTTGATACATTATTGCTATATTCAAAGTTTTAAAAAGCGGCCGCAACCGTTACGTAACGGTTGTGGTAGTTACCGCCACCCGTTACGGCCGCTTTTGCAGTGTGGTTGAGATTCACAGGTGTGTCGGCTGTAGCGACTGCCGTAGCGGTCGTAACGGTGCCGTAACAGCCGCAACGGCCTGTTATGCACCGTTACGTAATAGTTCCAAACTGTTTCTTTTGAAAAGACACACACACAAAAAAAGTTGAACATAGGGGAAGAGGGATAGAGAGAAGAGGGAAGATAAAGAGAGAAGATGGAGGAGCAAGAGATAGAGAGAGAGAAGAGAAAAAATGAAGAACATGTTATTGATTTGTTGAAGCTATAAGACCTATGCTATTTTATTCGGCTGCTATCACTTAATCATTTTGTTTGTGTGTGTTTATCTATATATTGTTTGAAAATAATAACAATAAGAACAATAATAAGTGTGGTCATTATCTATTTGGCTTGGTTAAAATATGTATATATATATTTATGTTCTTATTTATTCTCTTACTTTTGTCATTGTTTATCTTATATATAATAGTTAGTGATTGATTTTTTGAATAATATAAAGTCATTAATTATTAAAATAAAACGTAAAAAACTCAGTTTATAGTGATTTAAAAATATGAAATATATTGAATCATACTTAAAAATTTATAAAAATTGATCAATATTTATTTTAAACCTAATAAATATGATCATAGAAAAAGAAATATGCGTATCGGTAAGTTTTTTTCAAATTGTACGAAAAATAAAAAAATTCACGATTCCGGTTACCGCAACCGTTACGCTACGGCTTTTACACCCCGCAACCACAACCGCGCCACCGCCACCGTTACGGCGACCGCAACCGCTTTTCAGAACCTTGGCTATATTAGTGTAGCATTAAAGCAAATAATAAACATAAACAAGTATAGGGGAGACTAAAATCTGTAGAAGAGAAAGTGTCGTGGTGTGGCCCAATTTTGACCAATCAAAAAATAATGGTCTGATCCACTTTGGGTAATATGCATTGAGAAACAATATCAGCACATACTTCTAGATTAAGGTTAAAAGAACTGTGCTAACATGTTCTTGGGGAAACATATTATAGGCTATGTTTATGTAGCCTTATGTTTCAGTGCCTATTTCTCTTCTCCTCTCTGATGATGATGTAGTCGAGAGTTTATCTATAATTTTAATTTTATTATTTTGGAATTACTATTTGATTAGGAATATTTGGTTTAATTGGAATAGGCTAAAATTAATAAATTCCTATTTTATTAGTTTCTTGTTATACAAGAATTAACTTTAGTTTATTATAAATAATGATGTAAGCTTTATGGCTCTTCAGTTGATAGGTGATGATAAATTCAAAATCTTTGAGAATTTTCTCTTTCTTTTTTCCATTATTTTGGTAATATTCAGATTCAGTTGAGTTTTAGAAGAGTTGTAGTGTTCTTGCTACTACGGATTCTCTTCTTACACGTTTTTGCTACATCAGTTGGTATCAGAGCCTTGCTCAGTTCCCAACCATGGGATAGTTATATGGAATCTATTGTAGATTCCCTCACACTGTGTTTGGTTGGGGTATTTGGAAAGGGAGTTGGAAATGAAAAGGGAAAAGGTAGGTGAAATATAAATAAAATATGCCTACATTTCACCTAGTTTCACATACTTTTTCCCTTTTCCTTTCCAAATCCCTTCCCAAATCCCTTAACCAAACACAGCGTTAGGGTACATATTTGTCAGGTGCAACTTGTGGCGTTTGGTATGCAGAAAGGATGGTGTGGCAATGTGTTGCAAATAAACTAGAAGTGATGCATAATATTTGTCCTTAAGTTTCTGCCTGATTTGCTGGTTCTTTCAAAATTATTACTTAATCATTATTTGAAGCTTAGAAGTGATTTAATAATACTGTTGGTTGCAAAGAATTCGTCTTTGTTCTTGTTATCAATGTTCTTCCAGTTACTACAGATCATCAGTTGTGGGGGATGCCATATTCACAAGTGATGTCACACACATGAAGTGAATGACTGACATGTTATCTATGTAATGAAGATGACTTTGCCAGAATTCCTTTTGCTTGGCTTAGAAGGACGCTCATTTGGGTGTCGGACTTGTGATTTACCAATATCAATGCATAACATGCATCAATATGGGACCATGCAATTGATATTTTTTGTTAATAATTAGTAGGAATCATTATGCATTTAGTTTAATATCATGATGAACGATTCAATTGTTTCTACTGTGAAAATCCAGAAATACCTATTTTGTACTTGTTTTATGGTGAGTTATCTGTAGTCAAGATCTATAAGAAACTCAAGATGCTATACTTGCCCAATAAGTATTTAAATTTATGCAAGTGCAACAAGCAAAGTGGTGGCTATGATGAAACTCATTCAAATGCTGTTGAAATTTGAGAAGATGGCAACACAAAATTGGTCCTAGCAGCCATAAGCCTAAAACTTTTAGCCTTTCGGAAGTTGTGGTTTACTAGATAACTTTTCAAAAAAATGGGCAATGCCTTCTTTTTTCCCTTCAACGTGAAAGAAATTGATTGCTTATTGATTTTTGTGCTACATAGGTATGAATATGAGAGCATTGCATCATGGCTAATTTTACCTTATTGTCTTAAGGTAGCTTAGGGTGGCTTGAACTCTCAATCTCTAATGTCAAGATCAGTTCAAGGAGCCCAACAGGTATCATTAAACCAACAGGTTGATCAATTTTCCCGTGAGTTTGTCACACTAGGCTATCCTAGTTGTGCCTTGGCTTTGTATAATACAAAGTAATGGATGCACTGAAAGATCACTCATTTAATATTCCTAGGACCTTTTGAGAAGTGAAGCTAGGTTATAGCTATAAATGCCTGGGTTCTATTGTTTTTTTTGGCCATACTTGTATTGGAGATATGGCTGTTGCATATTTCCTATGGTAGACATATTGAATTTGTACTTTGGCTTTAATCTCTCTTTTTTTTTCCCTTAATTTTTTTTTTTTGTATGGGATTATATTTTTGTCTTCTAAGCAGCATCCAAAGAGAAACTTTCTTGTAGGAAGTGATAATGTTGGATATCATTCTGCAATCTTTTTGTGATACTATTTCTGATGTTTCATGTTTGGCACTCTCATCTTACGTGCTACAATACGAGTTGTAAATCTTTTGAATTTGGAGGTTAATCTGACATTCACTGCCATAATTTGATTCATCTTTTGCAGGAAAAACTCTATCAGTGGATTTTGAGACAACAAGAGGGAGGATCCAGAGTAAACACTGTTGACATACTCACCTACCTGCAGGTTTTAGCTTTCTTCTCAACCTTTTTTCTTAGCCTTTTTTATATGGTCGTTGTTGTTTGTCGTTTGTTGTAAGACTACCTATAAGGCATGTCTGATATATATTTAAATGATTTTGGGGCTGCCAATTGTCTTGAATGACGTATTGTGGTACCATTCTACAACTTGACTTATTTTATCACACTGGCAACTAGCCTATGAAGCACAAATACTTCTAAAAGGGAGTTGTATCCATATCATATCCGTATGCCATGTATCAGATATCAATACTCTTTAGATACTTGTGGATACGTATCAGATTCTTCCTAAATGTATATTGTACTTTATGTTAATTTTGAGATGTATATTAATCACAAATACTTCTAAAAGGTTGTCGTATCCACGTCAGATACCGATACTCTTTGGATACTCATGGATACGCATTATTAGATACTTCCTAAATGTATCTTATACTTTATTGGATACTTTTTGGACACTTGTCACATATCCAACTATTATGAAATTGAGACTATAATAAACTTTTGCATAGCATTAGAGTATATATTGTTAAAATAAATATAAGAATAATTTTTCAATATTTTTATTTCTTACCGAAGAATAAAATAGTGAGATTAAAGTAGTACCCTACTTTTCTAGATTTTATCAAATTAATGTATCCACTAAAAAGAAAGTAAATTGACTATTGGCTCAACTATTATCTAATTCTAATGATGGTTTCTTAGCACTAAAGGTCGTTTGGGTATCATATCTTCTAAAGATTTTTCCTTATTGCAGTAATCATATCGTATCTTATCGTATCGATATCCATGCTTTATAGCTAGTAGCCTTCGTGTAAATCGTTCTTGGGAATTGCTGTTTGATTTGCTATAAAATATTCCTTGGGACATGCTGTCTAATTTTAAGTGAGATCTAGATAAATATTCCTTGATGCAAAACATTTAATATTTGATCATCCTTGCACCCACTTGCACAATGCGAACACAGATTCAATATTCTCTCTTGCACTCAATTGATTGCAATTATTTTTGTTGTTTTCTATTTACCTTATATTTCCCCCTTTTTTTTAGTGAAGACGTAAAACAATATCTACAAGGACAAAAGGGGCATACTCCTGAACAAGCAGAACCTGCAACATCTTAACAAACAATTAAAACAACTCCCATAACTAGAACGTAAAACTAGCCATAACTCTCACTCATCAAGTATCAACAACACAACTTTGACTGTGAATGTAATACCAATACCATCTAGAAAAGCATAACCTACAACAGCAAAGAGCATAGATTTCTATATGAACTTTGGTTTTTTAGATTTGGGACTTGACTTTTGTACGTATCTGTATACAGATTGTCACATGTAGGCCTTGGCATAGCGTCATCTCCAAAACCCTTTAACATATTGATCTCCAAGTGGCAGGCCATGGTGCCATGTCATCTCCACTGTATATATGGATGCCAGGTTAAAATAAGAGAGGCCTCCATGTTAGTGCTGTGCTCCACCTTTCTCATACTTGGTTACCATCACTCTCCACCTGGAGGCTTCCACCTCACTGCTACTCTCTCTCTCTCTCTCTCTCTCTCTCTCTCAGGCTGCTTCATCTCTACCCCTCTCCACCCTTGGTTGTCCTTCACCTTATAATTAAACTCTGAATACATGCAATCACTTGTAAACCACGCACCTCGGTCATATCCGAATGTTTTGTTTTGAGTGAGAATCAAATATGACCTCTGGGAATTACACCATAGTAACTCCCCTGTAATGTTCAACCCTTTAGCCATTGGGCCACCTGTGCGGGTTGTCCTTTCCCATCTTTGTGCCTACCATAATTTCCAGCAGGCCCAGTCTTTGCACACCACCCTAGACCACCCACAACTTTATTGACAATCTGAGATGTACTATCATCTGTGAACGTTCCCTATTTTGTAAATGACACAATTTTGTCCCTGACCTTGACCAAATGACCATTTTTTATTTTAAAAATGATTTTTCCTTTTTACCTTTGTTTATTTCGGTTATCTTGTAACTTCAGGTCTCAATTGAATTATGCAGATTATTGTACATATTTGAAAATTCAACAGTCCGTGGTTGCACATCTGAATTCTGTGCAATCCTGGTTTTTGTTGCATTTCCCTGGACAGCCAATTTTTTCTTAGTTTCTATAGTTCAGTGATCCGCTGATGTTGGTTCTGAGATCTATTTTGTTTTTATTTTTTTTTAAGGTTGATTTTACCTGATTCCATTTTAGCTCAGAGTGGAATTTGTTTTGGTTATCTTGGTGCAGACTGAGCTGGACTATTGCGGAGAGGAGCCATCAGTGTCACCTAGAGCTCCACCCCAAAATCATCATTCACAGTCCACAATGCACTCTACAAATTCAGGTTTCCTAGTCTCTTCAGGCTCATCTGGTGCACCGAATGCTGCGCAAGGGTTTCAAACAGAGCACTCAGAACAGCAGCCCAAGAATTATGTTTTCTCAAATGCTCTGTCAAGTCCCGTTCGTCGGAGCCTCCAGAACTATCATATTGCACAAGGATTTAGGAACAACGAACCCAACTTTGTGCAACAACAGAACCGGGATTCCAATTCCTTGAACTCCAATGATTCCTCCATGGACATGCATGCAGATAGTCCAAGTCAAAGTCATGAGTCTACTTACTGAAAATTCTTTCCTAGTCCGCATTAAAAGCTTGCTGTGGTGTTTAGTGTGGTTGATAAGGAAAGGAGGGCACAATGTGGAAACGGTTTGCTTCACACAAAAATAAACAAGTGATCGTGGTGACTTGTTGAAGTGTGACGAAAAAAGTCGAAGTAGTGTATCTCATTGGGCAGAATACAATATTATTAGCGCCAAACCTGTTAGATGGACTCTTTTTCTTCTTCTTGTTCTTGTTCTTCTTTTTTTTTTTTTTTTTTTTTTTTTTTTTTTTTTTCCTATTGTCAGTTGGTTGGTTTGGGGGTTCTGTGTTTTATGTAAAGTGTTTGTTTCTGGTTAGTTCGGAAAATGTTTGAATTGGTATTGTTGGTTGTGTCTTTGTTATGGTTGTCTTTCTCAGTGATATGTGATATCCCTAGTAAAATTACATCATTGTAGATTTATAATTTGGTACTTGTGTGTACTTGTGCTTCATATGTTATATGGTGTAGGTTATACTTAGAATATGGATTCACAGAATTTGGAGTTCTAACTTCAGCAGTGAAGTTGGAGAAATGTCAGCGATCATCGAAGAATAAAAAATTGGATTTTCAACTTTTCAATTATTGGCTGAAGTTGGATTTGCCTAAAACAAGTGCAGTTTGGTACTTTTGGGGTTTGCTGAAGGAAAATTGAATATTTAGGTCAGAATCATTGGCACTCTAGATCTGAGGTCCATTCCTCTCTTTCCTTTAATTCGTCTCGAAAATCAAAAGAAGGTTTATGCCTTTTGCCACTGATTTGGATTCAATGTTTGAGAAGTGAGAGTTATGGGCAAAGTAGATCTTGTGATGGCAGTTTTTATCTTAGGAGTGTAATAAATCTTGTATTGATTCAGGGACGGAGTCATGATTTTTTTTACCGGAACACAATCTCGTTTAGAAGGTACATATGGAATCTTTTGCTATTTTACAAAAGAGATCGAGAGTGGAAAATAAACAAAGCACTGTAAATGTGATTATAATATTTTGTCATGATAGTGTGTTTGCAAATCAATCTCTGCTTTCTTTTATACTGTGTTTGATCGGGGAGTTGAACAGGGATTTGGAAAGGAAACTAGAAAAGATAGGTAAAATATGAACAAAACATTTCTATATTTCATTTAATTTCACACACTTTTGTCTTTTTTCTTTCCAAATTTTTCTTCAAATCCCTCAACCAAACACAGTGTTAGTGAAATAAAGTTCAAACATTATAAATCGAATGGTTGTCCAGGAAACATATTGGAGGTGTTGTTGGGCCTCCACGCCTACCTTGATGATCCAAGGTATTTAATTTGTAAAACTCGTCGAGTACATCAGTTCTGTAAAAAGTCAAGTTGATTGGACGTCGATAGCCACTTGATTATTATGCATTTGTGTATGCAATTTATTTTTAAAATCATAATTGTAGTTGAAATAAATGTAATTTAATTAAGTGATTATAGATGTCCGATTAATGTGATTTTTTGCAAGAATGATATACTCGACGAGTAACACATTGAATGGTTTGGGTCATTGAGATAGGCTTGGAGCCGGGCCCACCGAGATCCAACAGCACCATCTAGTCTCTAATAAATTAGACTGGAAAGATGTACCCATGAATCAATAATTATACATATATACATATATCACAGTTTTTAGATGAAACTTGTGTTTGTTTGTTACGGTAGAAAAAAAAATATATATATATATTTATATTTTTTAATATTGGTATGTTGCAAAATAAAAATAATAAAAAATATTTTTATGATCAATTAAAGATGAGTTAATTTTGATATAAAAATTTTCTCCTTAAAAAAGTGAAACGTGTTCCAAAGGTAATGAAATATACTAAGTCTTACCACCATTATCATCACCTCCACCGCTATTGGCCACCACCTTACCACCACCTTACCACCACCACCACCTCGGCTGCTCTATGTCATTATACCTCCACTGCCGTGACTGCCACCACCACCACTACTATAAACATTATTGTCGCCTTCACTTCAATTAAACAACCACCACCACCACCGTTGCCACTGCTATCATCACACAATCATTGCCACTGCCCCACACCCTACCATCCCCTACCACTGCTGCCCCACCACCATATCACCACCCACTATCACCACCACCACCGCTCCACTGTACCTCTACTATCATCTTCACCACCACAACTACACAACTACCGACACCACCACCTCCACCTGTTCCACCACTACCATAATTAACCACTACTAATACCTTAATTTCCAAGGTCACAATCAAATCTAGGAAAATGTTTTAATATTTCTGTCCAAACAAACAAGCATGAAGTTTGTAGTTGGTATACCTAATTTTCCTCGTACTCGCAGACACTTAAATCACTTAATCATCAACAATGCCCAATCCGGATCCAAATCAGTTTAATTTTCAAAACAAATAAGAGCAAAACCAAAACAAAATCACAATTTGCCCCTTGATATATTATTGCATAACAAGCCTACTAAAACACACAAACTCAGTCGGTGCAACTTAATCACAACCTAATGTCAGACAACAACAATGGGGTCCAACCCTTTCAATCCCACATGAATCAATCCATTTCGCATATGCTTGAAATGAAATGAAACAAAATGATTTGAAATGGAAAAAAGCAATTCACCGACCTAATAATGTTCTCACAATCACTTCTTTACATTAGGGGAATCCCATGCAACTTGTTGGCCCTTTAATGGGTCTTTGAAAATGATTGATGTTTTAACTCTCACTTAGGTTGTATTGTAATCTACAATTCATACACTTTATTTTCTAGTTGACAAAGCCATTGTGGCTTTTCATGTCCCCACAAACCCCCCCTCCTCTTTGCCAATATTAACCCATTATCAAAGTTCACTTTACAGAAATTTATTTTGATCTAAATAAAGTGTATATGTATTTATAAAGTTGAATGAAGTGTACCATTCTTTTTCTCAATCATTCAACCAACAAGTCAGCTTTATAAAACCTTCCAACAACTTTCACTTTGTAGGTTGTGTTAGCAAAAGCATATTCCCATGCTCTATCTTTATTTAGGGTATATTTGGTGACGTTTATGTCAAGTGTTTTATGTTTTGAAAATTTTGGAAATTGTAAATGAAAACATGTTTGACAATTGTTTTCGCTCAAAAAAAAAAAAAAAAAAAAAAAAAACTAACTGTAAACAATTTTCAAAATTTACTAAATTGTAGAAAACAAAAAATTTGTGTGCTCAATTGTTTCGAAAACAAGATTTGATTCACTAGCTCCTTCTCCATCCTCTCCTACTCGTCACCACCTTTGACAACCCGTCAGGCTATTCCTTCAACAACTCACTCAAACATATTTTCTTAATTTTATTTTTTGCATGTTTTGGAATCATGTGTGTGCTAGACAAATTTTTTGTTTTTGTTTTCAGTAGACAAACATATTTCTTGTTTTCTATATTAAAGAGAGAGAGAGAGAGAGAAATTGTAAGCCTTGCCAAAAGCTAATAATATTTGAAGCTAATGTGACAACAATAGCATGAGTGGCTACATATGTACCCGAAGCATGCCTCCCATAAGTTTGATGCCCTTTTTTTAACTTACAGTTGCAAATCAAAACTATTTGATTGAGATATGATAGATGTTAAATACTTTGCTTATTCTCATAACCTGCCCTCAAGTTTTTAAACAAATGGTGGTTTTGTTGAAAAGATGTGATGTAGTGATGGGCTTCATATTCACTGATGGGAAGATCAATCTATTCTTGAGAAAGTCAAATCTAAAGATAGGTTGATAATGCTGATGATTTAATCTTTGATGAATCAATAACACCAATTGATTTAGATTCCACCCATAATCATCACAAGACAATAGGATTATTCTCAAATCAAAATTTTCTACCATAATATGGAAAAGAAAGAAATTCAAAATGGCATAATTTCCGGAGTGTCTCATGTTTGACTTTCACAAGGCTCAAAACACTCATGGCTTAACCTATACACATAATTTATGAGTAATTGCAATTATTCTAAATTTATTCATAAGACATTATACTGAATGACAGGATAAACCAATTGGCGTTTTCCATCATAAAAAAAAAGTTCAAATAGCCAAATAATAAAACCAAACAATGAACAACAAAATGGGAGTACATGGTTAGTTAGAGTTTTTTCTTAATCTCACTTTTTCATGAATAACATGTGTTTCAGAAACTTGAGTATGCAGGAAAAAGAGAGGTAATAAGCATGATGACTTCCCCCTTCTTTTGAAGAAAATTTTGTTCAGATGTTTTCCATTAAGAAACAATATGTGGGACCAATAGAGTGTGCATCACATTACTTTAACTTGGCACATCTGAAAAAAGATTCATTTCCTTCTACCAAAAAGTTAATTTTGAAGCTATAAAATCATTGCATTTCCTAAAGAAAAACTGACCCCCACAGTCCCCATTTAAAGAGTGATGTAAATTTATGAATCTCTATTATTGATTCTGTATGTACAAATCTAGAGAACTAATGGAGACATTTGGATTGAGACAAGCAAACTTCAATCATTTAGGTTTTGTTAATAAAATTCGATCTATTAATTTCGACATTATGAGTACAATCTTTTTGTACAAATTATATCAAGTATGTATCTAGTCTATTCCTTCCAAACCCTCAATCAGTCTTTGCCTACTTTACTTTTTCATCTTTTTCTTTTGTGCTTATCTTCATTTTCATGTAATTTCATCCAATGGCCTAAAGAAAATAAAAATGAGTGTGTCACCCTTGGAAGCTAGTAAATAAGTTCAAAACCTTCATAAATTGTAGAAGTCAAGAAACTAAAAACTAAGGACATGTAATGTAAGTGCTTCATTATTGTTTCTTGCCATTGTGTCCCAATTAGGATTAGTAAGTTGGTTTATATTGTTTAGAAGTATGCAATCATTGATAATTAGAAGTGCCCAACAACATAATTATATATCCTAAAGTAGTATTTTTTTTTTTTTTTCTTTTGTGCTTATCTTCATTTTCATGTAATTTCATCCAATGGCCTAAAGAAAATAAAAATGAGTGTGTCACCCTTGGAAGCTAGTAAATAAGTTCAAAACCTTCATAAATTGTAGAAGTCAAGAAACTAAAAACTAAGGACATGTAATGTAAGTGCTTTATTATTGTTTCTGGCCATTGTGTCCCAATTAGGATTAGTAAGTTGGTTTATATTGTTTAGAAGTATGCAATCATTGATAATTTGAAGTGCCCAACAACATAATTATATATCCTAAAGTAGTATTTTTTTTTTTTTGTGCACAATTCTTGGGCTTGATGTCCGACTTACTTTCCAAAAGTGTACTCAACATAATTATCAACCGTAGGACTTTACCAAATTTCTTAGGGTAAATTACATTGACATCCCTTATGCTGTGTTTGGTTGGGGAATTTGAAGATGGATTTGGAAAGGGAAATGGAAAAGATAGGT